GGAGCTACGAGGCTAACATTGCTAACACAAGAACTCTAGTAGTCACACATTAGTCACACAAATCTTTTCCATGAATACATCCTCAAAACACCTCTCAAACCGCATCCAGGACTTCACTTAGGTCATGCAAACTTGTTTATGTAGTTTGGGGCACATTATAACTTACTATGAAGTATAAAAATAAACAAAACTTCATCTTGTAGAACACTACAGTCAGCCATTTTAGAAAAAGGTATGCCAAATTCTGATTCCACTGCAGAAATCTACATACATTCATGTGCACCCATGTCCCACTGGCATATGGATGGTAGATTAGATTCATGATTTCTATTATTTCTGTTTTTGAACATGTATCTTCAGTTAGAAAGTTCAAAATTAACAGTTATTTCTGAAAAGAGACAACAGAAATTGTGAATGTAATCTGTAGCATCCATATTCATGCGTGACATACAGACACAACACCTGTTGTCTTAAATGCTAAAATGGTAGCCTGCAGCATTCAGCTTCTTGGTGAAGCTTTTGAAGTTTACACTAAGTTATACCATGTCCAACCACATCAACAAGGCTGAGTAACCTTTATGAAGAGCTGGATGTGGTTTGCGATGGTTGGGAGAAGTTTTGGGGATGTATTTACAGACATAAAGATGTGGGTGACTGTTGACTTGAAACGTTTTTTGAGGAATGTTAGCCTCGTAGCTTCACTGCTAGACTAAAGAAGTAAAATTTGGACACCAAACATGTCCTTGCTGATCGACTACATCTGGGGTAAGTGGAAAGTTGTGTACATTTGATTTTTCATCAAAATATTCCTTTAACAACATAACATTGTTTGAGGCATGTTTGGTGTTCAATGTTGCTTCTTTAGTTTTGGATAAGAGCTTCAAGGCTAATGAGGCTAACACATTAAATACAACTCAAAATGGGGCATACAGTTTGCACAATGCTAATCAGTGCCTATAAGCTTCAAATACATCTTAGCTACATTAACCTCATAGCAGCAGTGAAAACTTCGGACACCAAATGTGTCATGACTGATCAATTACACTAAGGTACGGCGAAAATAGTTGAAATCAGATTTTTCGCTGAACTGTCACTTCAACTTGCTTAGTTCCTTCTGTTTTTAACTGAACAACAGGCCGAGCAGCAGAACATATGTACGGAACCCCTCCTCACTGAGCAAAAGCACCCAGCTGTCCCCTTCCTGCCTTCCTTCATGTAATATCACATTAGAGGCTGCTGGGGTGCGTCATAAGGCTGGGCTTTGATCGCAGCCTAACGTTAGCATGTGTCAAAGAGCTGACAGGGGGGAAAGGAAATGAGAGATGAACTTTGGGTTCAGAGAGCCAGCACAGCCCATCACTTCAAACGGCACACGCTTAGAGCCCTCTCCTCTGCTGTCGACATGACACAAATGAACAGAAACAGGTCAGGATGCAAGACCCCGAGCTTGTAAATTGCTACCATTCTCTGTCTAGGCCCTATGGCCCTGTACTGTTTTAAAGTGGAAACAGGGGAGCGTGCTGGCTATCAGAAAAGTGAAGACATCTCAGCTTTAAATACTCATAAATCCTCAGAGGATCTTATTTTAACTAAGTGCACTGCCTGATGGATTGAGGAACAATGTTAGAGTTTATGGTAATATGTAACGTAAAGATATGCAGGTGTGCCTTTTTCTAATCATGATGTTGTTCTATCAATCCACCAGCGGTAATGAGAAAAGGAATGAACATCCTTGAAGGTCATTGATCTTCATTACTGCCCTCACACTGACAGAACTTTTGAATTCCCAATAATGAATCACTGTACATACAACACTATATTCCAGATTGGTTATAATCTACCCAAATATAAACACTACCACTACCAGTCAAAAGTTTGGGCATCTTATTGAATTTATGTTTTTCATGATCTTAAAGACATTTGGACCTAATGCTGAAATGCTTAAAAGGTTAATGTCTATGTGTGATTTTTTTCCCCCAAAACATTCTTTAAATGAATAGAATTAATAGAATTCAAAACAATTTTCCACACCAGACAAGGTCTCAGCATAAGTGTTTCTTCTACAGTCCCACTGAACTCAATCTCAGGTGACTCATGAAACTATTTGAGACAAAGCCTACAGTGTGTAAAGCTGCGTCAAGGATACTCACAAGAGTACAAGATTTTACTGATATTACAGCATATGTTTTGATTTAATTAACACCTCTTGATCCCTATATGATTACATGTGTTATTTTACAGTTTAATTCTAAAATAATAGTAATAATAATTAAGAAGAACCCTTTATGAGTATAGGTGTCCAAACTTTTGGCTGCTAATGCAGAATACAAAATAAACTATAGAAAAGGATCAAAACTAACCTGAACAGTAACACAAGAACACAAGAACTAATCTGAACATAAATAAAACTGTAAAGGACAGTAAGACATTTTTCTCTGTCCATTTCTAACCAAAGACAAAACACTAACCTCTTTCATACAACAAGAAATAATAAAGTTGCAAAGTCACAATGGCTTGTACATCCTTAGCCTTTTAGGTTCTCCTAACTAGTAAAAAACAACAAACAAACAGGCATAAAGATGAATTAACACAGAATTAGCAAAGCTAATACTACAACAAAACCAAAAAATGGTTCAAAATGCTATCAGATTGAATTTGTATCTACTTTTGATTTATGAAGTCTGACTTCAGCATTACTAGTGTCTTTGTGTTTACCATAATATAATGTAATTAGACCTGACATTCCTAAATGGAGATGGCAGTTCAGTAGAAATATCCTTAGAATGCACTTAAAATCTTTCTGATTAGTCAGCGTGGATTAGTCATTAGACATGTGGTTTTGATAATGGACTATTATTTTTAGACACAACATATCAGAATGTTCTACTTTGCACATCAGTGATTTTAGTGTTAACATTAAGATTTTATTTTTCACATTATTGCATATTTGCAATTGTTTACATTACTGCTTAAAATGTATGGTTTCATTTGTTATGCAACATACAGTATACTGTAAAACAGACAACCCCAGTGTAAACTGATTTAATTGATTAAATATTTCTCAAAAGTGTTTGTTAGACTGGCTAAATAAGTAAATGAATACTCACATGCTTTGAAGAATATTGTCAGTATAAGCCTATTTACACTATATGTCATTTAACTATGTGCCCAAAAGTATCCAGACACCACTTCAAAGTAGTGAATTTAGACACTTAAAAGGGCCTGTATCATGAAAAACTTAATTTTCACTGTTTTAAAATAAGAGTTTGGTGAAGTATGTAAACACCATTACATTTCGCACCACTCACTCCCCAGTCCATGCAGTCTAAATATGGAAGCTATGCTGCAAAAACAGCCTGTATTACATTCAGTTCAGCCTGCCCAGTGACACTAAAGTTAAAAGGAGTTTTTCAGCCTAGACTGCTTTTTGAATGAGGCCTGATACAGGGCAGCCAATCAGAACAGAGTTAATTTACATATATCAGTTATAAAAAGTAACAAAAACAGCATATTCAATTCAAAGGGATAAAAAGAGGTTTGAAAACAGTCACATAAAATTAATTAACAGTGATCTTGGTAAATAAAACTACACATATGTTGTAAGTTAAACTCAAAAAATATAGGATATTCCTGACACAGCTTGTGTGATATCCACAGAAAGGCTCTGCCAAAAGAATGGGACACTCTGGAGCCTAAGATCACCATGCTCTATGCCAAGTATTGGGCTGTGTTCTTGGAAGTGATGGAGCACCATTGTGATCCAGAACTAATCATCCAACATCAGCGCTTGTCCTCACTGATGCTCTTGTAGCTGAATGCAATCAACACCTTACAGAAATGTTCTAACATCTAGTGTAAAGCCTTCACAGAAGAGTAGAGGCTGTTACTGCAGCAAAGGAGGACAAACTGCCTATAAATACCTGTGATTTCAGAAGAAACTTTGGATGCGCAGGTGCCTACAAAACTTGTTGATAGTGTGTATAGTACAAGAGGAAATGTTTTTTTTTTTTCCAAAGAGAAAACACTACTGATTTTTCAAAGTTGCCACATAATTAATTGATTAAGATGTAAACAAAATCATTCAGAGTGGTTTGGTGTAAAATGTTTCATTCTAGAGAAACTTACAGGCAGATTTGTTCACAGTGGTGATGATGGGAACCAGACGTCTGAAGTGTTTAACGCCTCTAAAAGCTCCCTCCCAGAAAGTTATTACATAAAAATGGTTATGAATACTCAGCCTGATGTCTGAGACATTGCTTTATGATAGTTTTGTGATAAAAATTGGCCTTCAATGTATTTTAATCAATTTATTTAATGTATTTGTGGAAGAAAGATACATGAAGGGTGTTCTCAGGCGAAGAAAACTTATTTTTTCAGATTTACCACTATTTTACCATCATCAACCTTACATATGCAAATTCAGAGGATACATTTAGGTTCACTAGGGGTTTTGGATAGTAAATTAAATGGTTATATTTGTGTTGTAGACAAAGTGACCCCTGGTTCCTATCACCACCACTGTAAAGAGACCTGAGTTAACAAGTTTCTCTACAAATTAATCATTTCACGTTAAACCACGTTTGACTTTGTTTACATCTCAACCACTGAATTACGCAGAAATTTTGAAAAATCGAAAGAGTTACCCTTTAAGGGTAATTTGAAAAGAAAAAAACACTGAAATAAAAAATGTACAAGAAGTCTTGTAACAGCTATAAGATTACCAACGTGAGTGGATCAGTTTACTTTACAGTTCAGTTTGCTACTTGCTTCTTATTCCTACTTTGTGCCAGTGTGGTAACTGACTAAAATCACTCTCTTCATCCCGTCAGGCCCTTTTACTGGAATCATACACAGCAGAGGAGGCAGAAGGTGTACTAAAACTCCTGCAGGGCTGTGCGAGATGGACTGTGGTTCTGTCCAGTTTAACCAGCAGGTGGCGACACTGACCCTCACCGGGCTCGCGTGGCCCCTGCATGGGCGCTCAGCAGCAGAAGCGTGTGTGGACTTGGGGTTTGAGAGAACGAGAGGGTAGGAGGCAACGAGGGAGAAGAAAGTGAGCAAGAAAGAAAGAGAAGAGAGTGAGAGCGCAAGAACAAGAGCGCGAGAATCACCGGACCTGGAAGAAAACCTCGAGAGTGTCTGTGCTTTATCAGTCACCTCTAACCTGAGAGCGTTTTCAGTGGATGTAAGGCGGGTCTCGCTGTGGAAATGTGTTCGAGGAGGGCTCCAGTAACCCGGGCACGGAGAGCGTGCTGCTGCCGCTGCCTGCTGCTGATCCTCCGCTTCCTCGCGCTCCTCTGCGTGCTGCACGGAGCAACAGGTAGGCAAGACCTCTAAAGCAGTGGAGGACCCCTCCGGTACCCCTGCCCTGCCTATTTTGGTGTTTTTCTTGCTTTAATACTTCTCAGTATGATCAGCTAATATAGCCCATCTCATACAGAAATCTAAAATATGGCAATATAGAGATATTCATATTCAAATATATGACATACACCAGCATAGCCTATATGGATTTCCTTTATATCCAACTTATATTTGTCACATAAGGACATATAGGTGTCATACACGCCATTGTATTTGAAATTGACCATTTTAAATATGGCTCATATGTTTCAGCTATATATCAACATATACAAACTTATGTGTAATATAACAATATACAGTAGAAAACATTCATATATGGATGGCGTCTCAGATATGGTAACTTCATGTTATATAAGGTTTTTATGCATCTTCTTTCTTGCTATATAACTAAAATCTAAAAACATGCACTTTGTAAGCTATTCAATAAAATACTTAAAACCTGAAATCCATTGAAATATTGTTCCCTGACACATTTAAATAAGTAAATATTCAAACACAAACAGATAATGGTAATAGTAACAATTATAACTATACTGGGATGGATTCAATCATGTATCAGACATAGATGTATGATCTATATATTATGCATATGTGTATTCAACAGCCTATCAGACTTGTATTTAGGATCAATATATTATGCATATATGACCATTATTTGATACGTACATATGTGTAAACAACATATATGTGCACACAATTTTAAATGTATGCCTTACTCTTTATGATATATGTCTATATATGGCCATATATCAGATTTCTGTAAGGGTGCGTGAGTTAAACTGGGTATTAGAGCAGGGACACTCAATTGTGGAGGCTACTTTAGGTATTCCACACCCAGGACTGGGAAACTCCTAAAGCATCATCTGCTGTATGGAGTTGACTACTGAGATCTAACGTGAATGCTAAAGATTAGTTTTTAAATGCTCAGACTGAAATTGTGCTTCTGTATGCACTCATGAAATATTATCTCCTGATTAAAGGTAATTGTTCTCAGCATACGTGCAGTGTTTTTTGCAGTCGGCTGAAGCTGAGCCATTTGTATGCTCAGAAAGACTCAAAATGTGTTTTGTGAGTGAATTTTGGCTGCTGCAAAAAAATGGGCTGATAGGAAAAATATGTGAAACAAATGCAGTTACTCTCAGAAGAAAAGGTATTAATCTGTCACTGGGGCAGTACCCCCTTGTCATTGAGGAGGTCCCTCAAGGAGTCGTCTTCAGTACCTTTAGTTAGGGATCATAATTGTTTCTTATTTCGTTGAAATTATATATTTTTCAAGTTATATTGCCCTCTCACACCCTGTCTCGTCTCCAGCCTTTTTATTTTATCGTTCTGTTTTAAAACATTAGGTTCTGAAGATGTACAAATACCTGGGAAAACTTATTTGAGATACACAATTGAACCTTAAACCTCTTGTGCATTTGAGAGTACATTTACATTGTTGGTACCTTGATGAACAAAGAATTGTACCTGCTCAGTACCTTTTTCTCTGTTGGATGTTAAAGCCGGACGATTTATCAAACACGAAATGTTGGCTGTTGGTTAACTGGGTGGTTGATCTCTCGGCAGAGCGTGCTGCTGGATCTCAGTTACTTTATTGGCTGAGCTTGTTGACCCTTCCATCAAATGTGAGCGCATATTGGTTTTAGCTCTTCATAGAGTGACAATAGAGCTCTTAAAGTGCAAAGAGTGAGTGTGTGTGCCTCAGCTTAGGCTCTCAGCTGGAGCTCTTTCGGAAGGCCAGGATTGCTTCATTTGCGTAAAAAAGGGGGAACCTGGTTTAAGATACCACACAATTATGCAGAGCAGAACACCCTGCAGAGAAAAGTCCATTAACTTAAACACAAAGACACATTATGCTGAGTTAAGGATATTTTAGATGGTGTTTTCAAAAAGACTTTGCCAGAAAAGAGGTGACTGAAATTTTTGGCTACACTTACAAGCAAGACATAGAACTTAAGTGAGATTGTTTATGTGCTCTCTTACAACGTCTTCAGTACTTTTACTGAATTGTGCGATGTTCTGCTGCAGTTGCATTTTTGACTCTATACACCTTGGTTTCTTATTTTGTTTTCCTATTTAAAAGAGTTATGAAAAGCTACAAACCTGCACATTTCACTGGGAAAGTGAATGTAGTGTGCCTTTAACACTCACTTGAGAACCATCTTGTACATTTGAAGTTGCATTTACATTGTTTGTTTCTTTTGGGGACTAACACTAACCTGGACATTGCCTTTTTTCTTCACTGACTATCTGGTCTTGTATTTTGAGCTTTAACTGTGAATGTTATGGCATTTTCCTTCTTCAGTTGAAGGGGAAAATTAAACGGTTAACATGTTAACAGAATCATTCAGAGTGGTTTGGTGTGAAATGCTTTGTTCTAGATAAACTTGCAGCGTCAGCATTGTTCATAGTGGTGGTGATAGGAACCACACGCCTGAGGAGTTTAATGCCTCTAAAAGCTCCCCCACAAACAGTTATTATATGAAATGGTGTGAATACACTGTCTGATGTCTGAGACATTGTTTTACAGTAGTTTAAAGTGTGATAAAGTTTTAATTTGTTTTAATCTAATCTTGGTGGAGAGACACATGAAGGGTGTTCTAAGGCAAGATAGTCCCCAAAGAAAAGTTATTTTTTCAGACTGACCGTTATTCTACCATCATCAATGTTACATATAAAAGCTCAGAAGACACGTGCTGGGTCACTGGTGATTTTGGATAATAAATAAAATGTCTACATTTGTGTTGTAAACATCGGGACCCTTGGTTCCTATCACCACCACCCTAAAGAAATCTGAGTTTGTAAATTTCTCTTCAAATAATTCCTATCACATTAAACCTATCTGAATGACTTTGTTTATATCTCAAGACTGAATTATACACAAACTGAAAAATCATTGCCAGATTACTTTGTATCGTGCTTTTACTATATGATAAATTGTTGTGCACTTTATAACTATTCAGTGCTGTGAATTATGTCCCCAAAAGGAGTGTACATGATTTTCATAACTGATAAAGTGCTTACATTAACTTTTGAATAGATTTACAGGGTCTTGAATTAAGTACACCTCACATCCCCAAACTGTTCTCCTTATTTCATAAGTAGATTTATTGAGCACTTACTTCAATTGGTCTGGTCTGAACATAGTCCAAGTTAGTGGTTCTCAGTCCACATTCTGGAGAGTTGAGGCCCTGAACGTGTTTGTGATTGATTTCTGTACTGTAGCACACCTGCCAAAGCTCATGGAGAACTGTATAATTACAAAACAGGCTTTGGATCAGGACCCTAGTGTGAGTGATTGAGGGATGGTGAAGTAGTCTCAGGTAATTCGCAGGCTTGAAAACATTGATCACCTGTACGTCAGCCATCCATTGTGAATAAGACTAGAAACAGGTTTGACTGTTTTGCTAGTACTGCAGCCTATAATGAGATGTACTTTACTCGGTCAAATGGTTTCTTTTGCTCTTTATGAAACAGATCCTTATAAAAAGTTTCTAAAATCTGATTGGCTGAGGCCCGTATAAAGCCGTTGTAAAACAAAGCCATTATGTTGTTTGGAAACAATAGTCTGTGGTTGACAAACTACATTGTTTGGTGGAAGAATTGTTTATTGTGATTATTAAGAATTAATTAAATAATTTAATGTGTATGTATAACATACAGTCGTATGTAAAAGTTTGGGCGCCCCTGGTCAAATGACATGTTTTGTTGATTGTGAAAAGAAGTTAACACATCCTCTACAGAGAACACACATTTTAATGCACAATTACTGTTTATTTGCTGGCTTTAACATATTGTGGAAAAATGAAACATAAAATGTGGCCTGCGCAATAGTTATGGCACATTTTATATTGTTTTATTTCTTTCCAGTATGTTAAGCTCAGCAAATAAGTAGAAAATTGCAGAAGAATGCATATTTAATTTGTTCTCTGTAGGGCATCTGTTAACTTCTTTTCACTTAGAAAATGAACAAAACATGTCATTTGACAAGGATGTTCAAACATTTGCATACAACTGTATGTTTAATGAATATTTTTTTATCATACTATATTTCATCTGCTTCCTGTCATTCACCGCAGCTTATTGCTTCATTATCACCTACTAACAGACTCAGGAAACACTGAGAAGAAGCTCTGCTGGTGTAGTATAGAGGTTAGACAGGCTGCTCCAGGCTTTTCACCCTGCAGATATCCTTTCCAATACAGATATAAGCTCCGTTTTACGGTGGGATGTAAATGAAGACCTCTTACTTGATGGATAGATCTCATTGGTAGATGGATTACTGCCCTGTGTGGATATAAGTGTTTTTCTTTCCCCACCGGTTACGGCTGGTATTGCATGAGATGTTCTTCACATGTCAGATGAATCTTTATGACAGCAGAGAGAAAGTTCATCCTACACCCGTGCTGCCAGGCCTGTCTTCGAGTGAGACCAGCAGCTGAAATGGAAACAGAGCTGTTCAGTAATCCAGTCTTTAGGTTTAATAATAGTTGAGAGAGTGTAAATCATGGAGGTGGAACCTCTTGGTTGTGGTGTTCAGCGGGACAGAATGTTGACACTAAAGGCACTTTACTTCAGAAAAAGTCCCAGGAGGGAGGATAGTTCTGCAAGCCCCGGTCGCACTCCATGGTTTAATCTGGTCTCCAAACGCATGGTACAGTTACTCAAGCGTCCAGACCTCCATCTTAAAAAGCCTTTGTAGATATGGAAGGAATGCTCACTCAAGCATGTGTACAATAAGTGCTAAACCCTCGTAAGCCTGGTAATCCATCTTGTTTTTTTCGATGTTCTGTCTTTATCGTGTTCTTGGCTGAGTCTAACCCAATATTATAACGCAGTTTATTAATCACAAAGTTAAAAATCATTTTCCACACATGTTCTTTATCCCTAGTTTTAAATCTGTATATTAGTGTTGTCAGGCATAAAAAATGACTCTGCATTTCACCATTTATTACT